GCGATCGCGCGCAACTCACGTCGCCCGACGGCGCAGACCCGCCGCGCCCGGGTCCGCATGGGTTTGGTACACCCTACGAACCAATCTTCTGGCCGAGACGCGCGCGCTGACGCGCGAAAACCGTGTTTCGATTCGTTTCGAAAGCCCCCAGGGGGGTCCCACGCGCGGCGCGCGGCACCAGCGGCGAGTTATCGTACGTAGAATATTTCCCACCTGAGGAATACCCCAATTGAAACGTCGGTCCAGACCGCGTCGATTTTGGTTTCGATTACGGAGTGCTGAGTTTTTTACTACCCCCGACGCGAGCTAAGTTGCTCGCGTTCGACCGATGGTCTTCCCAAGCGATTCGCAGCCGGACCTGAGGCGCGCCGGCGGCAAGGTCCACAGACCGAGCACTGCGCCAAGCCTGAGTCCTAAAACCGTGTTCAATATGGGTGCCCGAGTCGGACACCGAGGTCGCGCGACAACAAAAAGATGTCACGGCCGAGCGTCAACAACCGGGCAATTCTAGTTCAACTTACGACCCTTCAAGTACTAGGGGCCGTGCTATCCCCCCCCCCCCCGCCGAAGTGCCAGAGCTTTGTTTCATTATACCTTGCGCTTGCGGCGCCAAGGGAGCATAACGCACGCACAACAAGCGCAGATGACTAGTTGAGAACGCGTGGCGCCGGCACATTGCAATGGCGGCGCGCGAATCGGGACAGCGCCTGCAACTTCTCCAAGTTACGTACAGACAACTTCAGCATGGATTCAGGATTTCAAAAAAGTAACGGACTTCGGATTCACCGTCATCTGGCAGGTCGGTGCAGTGTACGGCATTCTTGACACCATCGATGCCAAACTTTGCGCGGATAGTTTGCGGACGAATCTCTTTAGCAAAATTGACATCCCATGGGCCGCAAGACTCCCTAAAATGCTGTACGGCCGTGCCGGAGGTTCGCAACTCCAAAGCACAACAGGGACCCGAACTCAGCTGTTTCACTGATGCCTCAAACTCAGGAATGACGCCTTCGTAGATTTCGAGGAATTCAGCTGCAGCTGGGATGTCAAGTTTGAACAGTGCCATAGCGGAAATTTCATATGCCTGCAGTGCTTCAATATGTGACAAGATCGCCCCTAGCTGCTTGCCCATCACAGCGTGGGGCCGCACGACGCAGCAAGTACAGTTACTACCAAAGCGAGCTGTGGGCCAGAAAGCTAGAGGCGAAACACCGCCAAACACCATCTCCTCTAGTGCCGCAGCTGCGGCGGCGTCTAAGGCGGGAAGCGCCAGACTAGCGATGCCACTACCACCCAAGGACTCGGAGATTGCCCGGCAAGCCTGAGTCAGTGCTTCTACAGCATCCGTGCCAGCCACACTCGCGATGACACATTTGTTCGAGCTAAGTTGGCTACCTTCATTCGGCCTCTTGTGTAGTCGCTGTAGGCATTTATCTGCTTCTGGTTTGTTAAGGGCTACCATCTTCAGCTTCTTTATCGTCAGGCCCGCATCCTCCAGCATTGAGATTGCAGCGCCCAGCTTCCTGCAGGCAATGCACTCCGGTGTCAGAAGCACTGTCGACACGATTTGAGACTTGCTAAGAGCCATGGCCGTGGCTCGATCGGCATATCGCACAATCTTTAACGCCCGCGAGTGCAACACAATCTCGTTCCCGACATGTAAATCGTTCAACCGAATCGAACTCGGAAGTGGAGATTTTTTTAGGAATGTGCGACGCGAGTTCGCGTCGTACATTTCAACTTGAAGTTCCTCAGCGTAGACGCGCATGACGAACTCCCGCGTCAACATCGGCTGGGCATCGTACCACTCGACGCTAAGGCCATAAACCGCCATGACAAAGGCTGTCGTTGTGAGACGATTGTTCAAAGATATAATTGCATTTACGCTGTACATATGTAAAATTGGCTAGTCTAAGAAAATGGGTACTTGGAGTTAGTAAGAAAACTAACCCCGCCGACTAACTACCACCGATGCAGCCACACACACCGACGTACCAGGAAAGTAACAAGAAGAGCAAGAACCGGAAGACACAAAGATGCAATATCCAAGAGGAGCCAATAATGTAAAGGGAATTAAATAAAACTGCTGGTTTTGGTGGTCCTCTCCCAGCTCGCCGCTTCCCCGGGGTCCGGGGTGGCGCGGCTTATATTTTTGGCCCGCCCACCACCCTCCTTCGGCACAAATGAAGCACCCGCCCTACCCTGCCCTCCTCCATCCCCGCTGAGGTGGCTGCGCCATCCAACGTACCGCCGCCCGCAGTGGGCACGCATACCCATCTCTGCGGCATCATTACTTGCCGTGGTTGATACGTCGTGTGGCAAGCTCCTGAGACTTCGCGTCGCGCAGCGCGCAGCTTCAGAAAGTTTGTCAGTGACCTTGTGATTTCAAGCTTGCATTCCTTTGATCATGCAAGGCACATGTCTGAGAATGTGTCCATTTTTCTTAATAGTCTCCAGTTCAGGGCATTGTTTTTAAACCACATGGCCCACGCAGGGGTGTTCAAGATACGAAAGGCCAAGTGGGCGGAAATTGCATTTACGGCAGTACAATATGTTTCCGGTAACGAGTTAGTGAGTTTAGACCACCTATCATCATCCAGCTAAATAAAACTGCTGGTTGTGGTGGTCCTCTCCCAGCTCGCCGCTTCCCCGGGGTCCGGGGTGGCGCGGCTTATATTTTTTGGCCCGCCCACCACCCTCCTTCGGCACAAATGAAGCACCCGCCCTGCCCTACCCTCCTCCATCCCCGCTGAGGTGGCTGCGCCATCCAAGCGCGGTCCGTCGGCCTTCATTCTGGCATATTTAATTGAAACTGAGCTCAACCTCCCCTCGAGGGAGGATCTTACTTGCTTCCTTTAGCTCAGGCTAGTGGGAGATACGAAAGGCCAAGTGGACGGAAATCAAATTTTTGTTGAATTTCAAGTTGAAGAAACGAACAATTTTCTACCCGGCAGGGGCCCCAAAACACGCTTATATTTGGGTTTCGCAGTCCCGGTATTCAAGAAGCATCAAAGCCGGGTGATTCTCGTCTTTCGACTCGCAATTTTGTCGACTTTCAGGAAATTGGACCATTTTGCACGCGCGCGCGCGCGCGCGTTCGTTACGTATAGAGTAAGTAATCCCGGCACATCGAATTAATCAAAGGCCCGGACAGAAGATTTCACATGGCGTGGGGGGGTGACTTCAGGTCGCATCGCTACCCTGGGCCCCCGCGGCCTCGCGCAAGGCTCCCGCGCGCCCGCGCGGCGCCGGTCCGCGCGCCGAGGCGCTGGCCGGCGTCGCCGGCGCCGCTCGAAGAGCGGCCCGTGGCGCAGGTGAGCCTCTGCGCGCTGGGCCACACGCTGCCGCAGCGGCGGCGCGAGAGGATCCGCGTCCTCGAGCCGCGGTACCGTCGCGACGTCGGCGCAGGCGCCGGCGACGAGGGGGACGACGTCGGCGTCGGGCGCCGCGGCGCGGAGACCCGCGTAGAGCGCGCGCCACGCGGCCCGCGTCCCGTTCGCCGCCCGGAGCGCGCGCGCGAGGCCGCGGCCGCGGCGGCCGCTCCGGCGCCGAGCCGATGTCGCGGACCCCTGATGGCGATCGCGCCGCCTCGACCCGTTTCAGCGCCGCGCTGCAGTCGTCCGAGGTCCGACAGGGCCTCCCAAGCGTCGCGCGCGGCCCGAGGCGGCCCGCGGCCGGTGCACAGCGCGATGGCGGCACCCGCCGCGAATCACGTTGGAAAGCGTCGCGCGCGGGCCCCGAGACGGTTCGCGCTGCAAAAAGAAGTGCGGAGCCGCGGGTCAGGAGGTGTGGCTCGGGCTCGGAACCGCCGAGGGCCTTCGCGGGCGCGCGGAGGGGCTCCGCCGAGGCCTCGCGCTGAGGCTCGCACCGGTTCTCGCTGCGCTCGGCTTTTGCCCCAGCGGGCCTGAAAGGGTATAGTGAATAAGGGGCCCCACCGGACCCGCGCGCCCGGGCGTCCCGGTTTGCGTCCCGGCGCGTCTTCTATGAATAGGGGGCGACACTGAAAGCCCGGGATTTTGCCGTCGACGAGCCGAGCTCCGAGACTGCGCCTATCCCGAGGAGCCCGCGTAGGAATTCGAAGACGACTTTCGGTTCGTCCGGATCCGTCCGAATTGAGCGAAGTTATGGTACTAGAAGAGCCCGTTCTTTTCCGCGGAACGCGCGTCGGGGACGCGCGGACGTTTTGAGAATGTTCCTGTGCTGCGGGTCCACGAGGATGGCCTCCAGGAACTTGGCGTAGTGGGGGCGGTTCACGTAGACGGCGATCGACGCCTCGAACTCGAGGTCCTGGCGCCCGCCGGAGACGCCGCGGCGGGACTCGCCGACGTAGAAGGCCTTGGAGTAGTTCGCCTCGAGCCACGTGTGGTAGCCCTTGGTGCCCTTGCCCTTCTCCGTGGACCTTCTGAGACCACGCGAATCTGTCGAGACGTCGACGCGGCGAATAGCAGCACGCTGGTGACCTGTTTTGGATCAGGACCCAGCAAAGTCTCTCTCTTGCAGAGCGAGCTTTAGGCGCCGACGAGCAGCGCTGCCGTTGCTGCGGCCACTCGGGCCGGCGCAAGGCGCGGGGAATCGAATCCAAACGCCCGCAGGCGCACAGCCGGGCCGACGGGCGGCGACACGGGGCAGCCCAGCTCTCGCAAAACGCTCCCTGGTCCGTCAAGTGCAGGGCACTGACCCATTCCGGTCGGGGCGATTTATCTGGGCGATTTAGTGGGGAGCCCAAACCGGCGCATTCGCCGTACGGCGCCGCAGGACGCAGTTCCCCCAATTTTCGCGTCCCCACTAAACCGGGAAGTCGCTCCAGGGACGCCTCCTAAAACCAGGCGCCAGCGGAGGCGGAGCGGAGCCCGGAGAGCGCCCGGGCTCAGTGACCCCCCCTATAGTGAAGTAGCGGGACTTAGTTTGTTAACACCCGGGACGAGGAGGGGGGTCGGCGAGCGTAGGGTTGGGTATGAGTGGCGCACCTTTCCAGTTCTGGGCTTGGCTGGGGCTTCGGCTAGGACCCGGCTTAAGGAGTCAGTTCTGTGAGATACAAGATCATGAAAGGTCCTCAAACATTCGCTTCCTGGTGCCGCACTACGCAGGCCTGGAGGTGCTGACGCTCGCGCGTTCTTGCATTTGCAAGACTCCAGGAAAGCTTCCATATGTGAACTTGCCCAGCTGAGTCGCCGCAAGCTAGAAAGTCTCTCTGCTTGGGGTTAAATTGAACTGCCAATATGCGATTTCGCGTCACGCAGTTGATTGCGGCGGCCTTTGAAGGCGGTGTCTCAAGTTCAGCAACTGGTATCATCGGCTGGGCGGTACCAAGGTCATGAATCCGCACAATACCACCATCACCTGCAACAGCAAAAACCAAAGGGCGAAACTTGGACCAGTCTGCACAGTAAAGCCCGGTCGGGAGGCAACCACGGTCTGCATTATCCGAGATGCGGGATGCTGACATCAAGGGCAACCTCTGCAGGATAGATCGAAAGCAAAGGGTCCCATCAACACCAACAGACAAAAAGGCATGTCGGTGAAAGGGTGAGCACACGATCGCTGTTATCGGACCAACCTACGTGGAAAATTGTTGAAATTCATATCTTTCCTTGGACAACGACCAGACATGTGGCTCATACTCGGTAGTAGGCCCACAAGATGATGGAAAAATGTGATGTAGCTTTGGCTTGGAAGCGAAGACATCGCGCGCGTTAATCGCTTGTTTTCTAGCACCCTCCGCCCAGTCTCCTACATGCTTACATAGCTTTGGCTGAATGTGCGATGGCAAACGATTAATAATATCTGCGGCGCTATGTTCCCAGCGTATCGGTCGCGCAGGTACGAATGGCTTAATAGTATTGTTATGTGAGCAACGAAGGACAAGACCACTCTCCGAGCCAACAAGAATTGCTGATTGGGTAAAATCCATGGCCGTGCCACCAATTATTGGGACACGTCCCTTTATCTCAAGGCCCCCTCGTATTATGTGCATTCCACAAACCTAGACACACGCGCCAAAAAAATAAGGAATGCAGGATAAGTAAGGTACCCACCGGATGCGGCAAGCAGCCTCCAGCTTCGCGACTTGCGTTCTCGATGGTTTCTAGGGACCACCAAAGGACCTTGCCGTCGCCAGATAAAGATGCAAGCTGGTACGAGCCTTGCTTAGATCCTGGTGAGGTTGGTACATGTAGCCACAGGAGTGCTGTAATGGGTTCGCGGTGGAAGTACTCATCAATATCGGAAGAGGCCTTTAGAGAGTCATGCGTAGAGGTAAGGTCGTAAATCAATATTTCTCCATTAAAGGTGCCAGCAGCAAGTAGAGATGGATGAGTCGGATGGCAGGTGACAACCGTGAAGCACGACGCGTATTCGAGGATATGCGTAGCCTTGCTAGGACAAAAGTCGCCGCGAAATAAAGACCAACAGCAAATTATGCCACTATCGTCGCACCAACCGAATTTATCGGGCCTCCCAAAGGCTGCACAAATCATAGAACCTGTCGAATTCCATGATAGATCGACACATTGCAACTCTGTTTTGTCAACAAGATTGCACGTCAGCACATACTTGTGGGTGATATCATGGTCACCAGCGGTGCTCAAAGGCGCGAAGTCGTCGAATGCATCGTCGCGCAATTCTAGCTCTCTCTTCATACCAAGGGCAAGATCAATCAAAAGCGGATCGGTGTTTAGAGAACTTCTGTCCTCACCCTTGTCTGAATTTATTACTTCTGTCTGAGTACCTACCTTGGGAGGCTGATCCGTTCCAGAGGCTAGACTTGAAAACTGAAGTGCGAAAGTCTGTGTTGAAATATGGCCACATGGCGGAGAGTAAACATCAAAGTGAGTTGTTGATGCACAATCTGCATCGCTGAAAGCAGTAATCATTGTGTGGGTATGCTATGTCAATGATTAAGATGCTTCTGCCGCAGTGCTAGACGCATTTGGCCTTGTCTATGAGCTCGTGTATCTTTCGGTGCTTTACCTCGACTTTGCTTTTTGTCTACCCCTCTAGAGAGATAGAGAGACTTCTACCTTCATCTTCAGTGAACTGCATCTTGATGTTGCAGTGCACCTTACCCCACTGCGCTCCTGCTGCGTATCCTGCTGTGGCGGGAGATTGGACTAAGGTAACCTGCTGTGGCGGGAATTCCGCCTTCAATATCTACCTTTAGCTTAGTTTGAAGCTGGCATTGCAGTGCATGTATCCGCCCTATTTATCTCATTATATCTTTACCCTACAGATACGCGTCGCCGTATCTTTTCTCCTTTTTTCTTATCTCACATCTAGCGAGGGCTGCCTTGGTGTTATCCAGGCTGAGAGTCCGCGCTAGTGCCCCTAGACTACCCGGGGAGATCAGAGGTAACATCTACTTAGTTCTACAGTTGAGGGGCCTTACGATCCTTTGACATTTGGTCCCAGCTACCGGAACTGGCTTCATCAGAGTCCGAGAGCAGTGAGGGGCTCCTCACTGCAGACGACGAACGATTCCCGATGCTGCAGTGATTCGAAACGAGTCGGTGGGCTGGGAGGCGTCGAGCGCGCCCCATTCGAGCCTCTGAGAACCGCCCGCCTGTTCCCCGACGCCATCGCCTGGACGTCCCGTTTTCACCGGCGCGTCGTCCGTCAGGATGCGGCCCATGCAGCCACTGAGATCGTTGCGCATCTCCGCGTATTCGCTGAGCGGCGCGGGTGCAAAGCCTGTCACAAACGCATCACGCAGCCCGGAAACCAGGGGTCACCAACGGCTCGCCCTCGTCCGATGGACCTGCGCTCGTCCGACGGCCGTGCGCTCGTCCGACGGCCGAGTCCTCGTCCGAGGGCGCCGATTTCGCCGTCCGAGGGCCCGAGGGCGTCGGCCGAGGGGGCGGCGCCCTCGTCCCGAGGGCGCCGAGGGCGCCGAGGGCGCCACCGACCCCCCTCAAGGCACACCCAGCCCCTAATCCAACTATTATTAAATCCTATATCATTCTATATCTTGTATCATTCCTTAATATCTGCGGCCGCGCTGATCTCATACGAGAGACCAGTGCCGAACTTGCATGAGCCTCATCTATGCGCTAGCGGCCAGTTTGGCGATCTCCCTTTACGTGTGGCTACCGGCAAGCGTCAGGCCGCCGCATGTGGGTTTCCAGAGTCTACCATCCTATGCACGTGAAGAAACTGGAATCTGTAGATAATGTATCACAATGACATGAAATTCTTGATCTCGAAGCACACAATCTTGGGTGCGATGCATATGCACACGCCTCATGAACTCGCGTTTCATGGATTGGCAGTGCAAGCAGCATCAACTTACTTGCGACCAGGCTCAAAAAGCGCGATTTCCCTTGGAGTGGGCGCGGGGTCAGTGGTGAAGGAGCTGCGACACCGGAACGTGCAAGTGCGCGCAGTAGAGATAGACCCGACTATCGCCCGGCTCGCTCGCATCGAATTCGGTGTTGGATGTTCCGTAGGTGATGGTAGCTTTTCTGCGTTATGCTAATAACTTTTCACCGCAACGGCTCACTCATTATCTAGGTGTAGATGTCATTGAGCATGTACGTGAGGGCTCACATGATCTAGTCATTGTTGATGCATTCGACGGCGAAGGCATGGCTTCGACATGGCGATTCCTAAATGGTGAGACCATGCGACATATAAAGGTGAGTTTCAAGGACCAGGCAAATGGGCTCCTTGTTTTCAACCTCGTCTTGGCGGGCGAGACGGAGGCGGACGATGATGTTCTTCACCGTGCTGCCTCAATCATGGCCCAAAAATTCGAGTTCGTTCGGGCGTTCCGCGACTCTCCGCCTCAAGACACTGTTGCTGCTGCCAATGTCATCTTCTTTGCCTCTGATTCCAAGATTGACGCCGAAGGTCTGCAAACGTTATTTGAAGACGACTGGAGTCACGGCTCAGAGCATTGGGTCGTACGTAGCTTCCATAAATGGCAAGTGCTGGAATGTACGCCCGCGCATTGTGAAGGTCTCTCAAGGAACTCCCCGAAGTCACCACCAGGGAGGGAGTATGATATCAAGCTCAGGCAGAAATTTGCTGAGATTACCGCCTCATACATTCCCGCCGAGAAATTATATAGCACCCAAATCAAGATAGAGATGCAGGCTGCAGCTCTTGCGATTTCTGGGATATTATTCTACACTTTCCGAAAGCAACCTCGTGGTAAAACAGAGTAAGCTTACTCGTGGTGAAGGTGATTCTCCTCTCAGCAAATTTTCCACTGATTCCAATGGGCTGATAACCAGGGAGAGTCCAAGCAGGCTCTCCGGAAGGCCGGGCTCACATGGGGAAGTATGTTGGGGGGCTGAGCCAGTAGACTGGACTCTGAGAGGCCCGGAAGCGGGCGAATGTACCGCGCTTTGGGTGCGAAGCAACAAAGCAGCCTCAAAATAAGAGCCCGATCGGCAAAGATGGTATTGGCGAGTTTGGGCGTCCGATCTAGTCCATGGGTGGTCTGGGCCTGCGTGATGGGCTCACCTGCAGCTTGTTCAGCGTGTCCATCGACCTGACGCCGTTCAGAGACGTCCTCAATAGTTCACGAGCGTTTCCATGGCGCCGCGAGTGTGCGGTACCAGTAGCGGACGTTTTCTGAGTTTTGGCGTTGAAAGATACACCCCCCCCCCTTCCTTCCGCCCCCTCAGAATGGCGCTTATGGTGCACGCCAAACAAGGCAGCCCACCTAGTTACAGCCACTGCGAACCCACCCGCCATCTACTGCCCCTCGTTCCCCCCTTCCTGCTCACCGCCGTCTACTCAAACTCCCAGTCGCCATGCGCATTTGGCCATATCGCCCTTACTAAGCCTTTCGCGAATCCTCAGGCTGACAATTAACATGGGCCAATTAAGCTATCCTGACGCTCGTAGTACAAAACGCACGCCTTATTTGTGACGACGTCCTTGTGTTCGCAGTGTTGTATAAGTGTGTCGTTCGCCAGGCGCCATTCATCGTCACATAATCTGACCTTGGCTGTGAAGTGGCCCTGGCCGACATAATAGTTCCGCCCGGTTCCTCCGTGCTCTGTGATCGCTTTGAGGTCGTAGAGGAAAGCGCCCTCTTTGGGACCAGAAATGCGCTTGCTGAGATCAAATTTGTACCTTGGGAAAGTTACTTTTGTCTCGACCTTGACTCCAACAGATTTGTTTCGAGATAAGTGAACGATGAGGATCTTGGGAAGAGACCAGATGGCCGTGCGCACGCATGGCAGGG